ACGACAACGCTCGTCCTCATCATCACGAGACCGCTCATTATCACCACAAGGGTCTCGACCCGTAGTACGAGAAAACTCTTTCTCCGCACCGCGGCGACCTCGATCCTCATTACGACAACGTTCACCCTCATCACCACGAGGCCGCTCATTATCACCACCACAAGGACCTCGGTTTTTAGTAAAAGAAAACTCTTTCTCAGCACAGCGGCGACCTCGATCCTCATCACGACAACGGTGGCCCTCACTAACACGAGACGGCTCATTATCACCACAAGGACCTCGGCTCTTAGCACAAGAACACCCATTCTCAGCACAACGACCTCGATTCGCAGCTCAAATACCCTCATTAGCAACATCACCAGGAGGGTCAAAGAAAGTAATAGCTGCAACTGTTAATAAAGGAACAATTTAAGTTGTGACAGGTGATATAACAACAGAAAAAGTATGTACAGAAATTTCTTTCGATGTTAAAAAGGCTATTCAATTTCTTGTTTTTGAAAGGTGGATGCTATTATCGGAAGCTCATCATCAAAAATTTTAAAAGATGCAATTATAAAAGTAGCTGGCGATGAAGTTAAGGCTTCATATGATACCCAACACGAAAACAATCCAAATTCTATATTAATTTCAACGCCATCAGGTGTCTTACCTTGCAAACGAATTTTTTTTGTTAAGTGGCAACCAGACAAAAATGAGGTGATACTTCGACAATCGCTTGTTGACCTGATTGGAATTGTTATACAAAATGTGATATCATATAAGTTCACGTCATGTGCATTTCCAGCTTTGGGATGTGGACAACATGGGTGTTCTGTAGATATTGTAGTCAAGACGATGGTGCAAGAAATGAAAAACCAATTGACCATCAGAAATCTACCTGTGGTAGTAAGATTCGTGATACAACCTGGTCAACTGAATATTTATGACGAATTTTGTAAACAAGTATTAGCAACACAGAATGGTATAATTAAACTTTTCTTTTTCGGCTAAATTTAACTTTTCACCATAGACTGAGTAAACTATTAGCTTTTTAAGAATGATTCAGATCAGAAATTTTTCAGTCAGGCTGAGTAGAAACAAGATGGAACAAATTTCTTCTCTGATTTTTAGATAAAAACTATTGTACTTAATGACTTTAAGTTTACCAGTTGATTTGAGGAAAGAAAACCGGCAAGATTAGTTACATCCGATTTAGTTATCACCCAGTGGAAAATATTTCAAAAAAGTCGAAAAAAAACGCATTCATCAAAAACTGGAACGCGATCTTGTAAGTGAAGAATGGGTTCTTTACTTTGTGGAACGGGTTCATCAGTAAAAAAATTACGTTCTGCATTTAAAGGAACGCATTCTTTGCCGTTCCATGTAATTTTGGAATGCTTTCTTCTTAGTTCCAAATCGTTCTCACTCTCGATGGAAAGCGTTCTGAACCGTTCCAATCACTATTAGAATAGTTTCTTTTCCGTTCTATTTTAGAATGGTCAAAATTAGATTCCATTAAAATGAGAAAGCGTTCGTTAGCGTTTGCTACTGGGATATGTAAGAATGAGTTCTTCGAACGGATGAATGCGTTCCAGGCAATTTAACATCGTTCTTGAATAGAAAAGAATGTATTCTTTGTCATTCTACAAACTTCCGAATCTTCTCATGGAGTCAAGAACAAATTTTGAAAAAATAAAATGTTTTCTCGGCGTTTCATGACTTGGATAAAATTATTCGCCACATTGAGAACAAATAGTGCCTTATAACAAAGACATAATGGAATAGAGAGAAATGAACGAAAGTCAATAGTGGACCATACAATGATAAGTCATACAGACAGGGTTGCCAGATTGTCTGAAAAGTCAGGACAGTGTCTGAAATTTGGATGTCTTTCTGGTTTCCTTCTGATGGTCTGATGTTTTCTGATTTTTAAAATTTTCATCTGGCAACCCTGCATACAGACCATATACTTGAAGATAGATGTCATCAACATCTATTTTTATGATTCTTTAAAATAAGTGATAATGCTAAATAAAATGATTCTTCTTCAAAAAATAAAGAAAAAAAAATAATTTTATCATCTAATAAAGAGAGAGTTAGTTTTTCTTTAGTTTTCATTCCACCTTAATAAAAAAAATCATTTTTCTCATCTCGGAGAGATAGAGTTAGTTTTTCTATAGTTTTATTCCATTCTAATATGAATAATCATTTTTCCCATGTAGTTGAGATACACTTAGTTTTAACTTTAGTTTGATTCCATCTTAATAGAAGCAATCAGTTTTTTTTCGTGATTTTTAGTTATAGATAGTGACCAGTGACTTCAGATGCAGTAGATTGAGAAATGTTTTCTCTGTTGACTATGTTTTAGATAAGGATAGGCTTTTCCGGTAGAGTATATGGATCTAGTAGGAGGACTAAGTGATATCCCAGTTTATTTTTGTAAAATATTTCTGTAAGGACATAGGAATCTGATAAATTCCATTTTAAATTCTTTTGTGAAAAACGCGTTCCTACATCAGCTTTTTCTATGAGAGCCCCGGAGAGTTCGGAATGATTAACAAAACCTCTAAGGAGCTCTTGAGAAGCCAACAAAAAGACGAAAAATCCTTGTAGACTGCCTTGGAACTTTCTGGAGTTCTTAGGCAGTCTACAAGGATTTCTTTTTTTTGACTTCTCAATAGCTCCTTAGAGGTTTCGTTAATCATTCCGAACTCTCCAGGGCTCTCATAGAAAAAGCTGATCTAGGAGCGCGTTTTTCATCATTTTAAATTATGACGACCAAGAACGCGTTCCACTTTCGTAGAGAACTTATTTAAGAAAAAAACGCTTGCGATAAAATTGGAACGCATTCTCAACCGTTCCATTTTTATAGCGAGCGTTTTTTTTTCTTAAAAAAAGTTTTCTACAAAAGTGGAACGTGTTCTTTGCCGTTTTTTTTTCATGAATATTTTTCACTGGGCAAGGAATAGATCATCCGAATGTTAAAAACACATCATGAAAAGGTTTACGTTCCCTTAATGAGAGTAACGCTATTCAAAAATTTAATAATTTTAATTTTAGCAGATAGTAAGAAATCGGTTTATTATCAGTTTCCTACAACATGGGAAAAGCCAACAGAAAACGAAATGCGTTTTGAGTTATCAAATACAGCGAATGAATACAAATCAATCGTAGCCAATTTTAATCAGTCTATCAAAGGAAAATATACAAAAATAATACGAATAGAACGCATTCAAAATGAACGATGGTATATTCAATATTTGGCACACAGTCGAAGTTTCAAAAGAACTCTCGATAAAGATACTGAAAAAAGTTTGTATCACGGATGTCCTCAAGAGGCAGCTGACAAAATCGTGAAAAGTTGTTTCAATCGCAGTTTTGCAGGAGTTACTGGTAAATTTATGTCTCATTTCACTCGTTTTGTATCGATGGCACTTTGATCTTTAGGAACTGCGTATGGTTTTGGTGTTTATTTTTCATCAGATGCAGCTTATAGTCATGATTATGCAAAACCAAATGTCAATGGAGAACGTCATATGTTTTTGGCACGAGTTCTAGTTGGAAATACAACTAAAGGTAATAGTTCAATGAAGATTTGCCCTGCTGGATTCGATTCAACTACTGATGGTAAACATATTTTTGTCACTTATCATGATGCTCAAGCTTATGCTGAATACTTAATTACTTATACATAGAACTGAATAATTATATTATTTTCGTAACTCTTTTAACATATTATTTATTTCTGATTTGAATTTGATTAAACTCTAAGGAGTGAACAAGCATGCTTCATTATAAGAACATGTTGTTTTGTCAAGTAGTTATACCCTATA